TCCCCCGTTACACAATGCAAGATTTTTTAACATTGCTGCTCATATTCATATAAATGCTAATAAATTTAGATATTATTATATATATATATTTATTAACATTTATAGAAATATATACGAAGTACAATACTAAAAAAAATCTTATATTATAAAATAGAGGAAATACTATAGTAGGAGGGAGTAGTAGCAGCAGTAGACATTTTCTCATTTCCAACACCCTGCAGTAGTACAGTCAAGCGGTGGATGGAGGCCTGGTTCGTTTCTCCAATAATAGCATTCTACAATGTGAAGTCCGGAGTAAAAGTAGTCCATAGCCAATATTATATTCTGTTCAGCTATCTATTAATATTGTGCAACTAGTCTATACGGAGAAAATAACAGAAGATATCCATAAGCATATGGACTAACCATATGGAATAAATAATACTATCTATCTCTATCTCTCTCATCTCCTAATGCTACCTTGTATCTATATATATCGTGGAGATTGCTATAGTTAAAGTCTTTTTATGTGGATCCCATTTATATGGATCACTTTTATCATATACATTGGTGATGTCCAAGGAGGAGATAAATTTTAGATAATTGTGGCGTTTTTCATATACATTGGCCGGCGACGAGCGGGTGCTACGGAGCACGGGTGGCGACGGCGGCGAGCACATGGCGAGCGGTGGCAATGGTCGGGGCGGCGCCGGCTAGCTACAGGGAGGCTACACAAGCTACTACCCGAGTCTAAGGGGAGGAGATGGAGCGAGGAGGAAGAACGGAGGGAGGCATTACCGAGATGAGGAGGGGCGCTGTGACGAGAGGCCGACGGCGCGGGAGTAATCTCTCCGGCCTCGGGCCGGGGAAGAGGAAGGAGAGGGCGCGCCCGGAGTCCCCTTCCGCGTCCACGAACGCACCGGCTCTCTCGGTGCTTGGCGATGAACGGCGGAGGCGAGACAGAGCTCGGAAGGCGGCGGCAATGGCGAGGAGGCGAATGGGAGAGGAAAGGAAGGGAGGGCGCCTGGGTTTAAGGGGCGGCAAAGTCGGTTTGGAAACCGACTTTGGGCGGTCAAGGCGCGAGCTGGCACTCCGGCCAAATCGGCGACAGGGAGGAGGGGAATGACGCCGGCGGGAGGAAAAGGGGAAAAGGAGGGAGAGAAAGGGGGGCTCGCCCCTTGCTTCTTTGGGAAAAGGAGGAGGGGAGCGGGGGCGTCGCGGCAGGGGGAGGAGGGGCTCTGCCTCCGTCCCTTGGCGGCTTGCGCGCGGAGTGGCGGGGCCGAGGCGATGACGACGGCGATGACGGCGGGGCGGTTTGGAGCGGCGCGACGACACGGGCGACAGGCGCGGGCTGGCGTGGCAGAGGGTGACGGCGGCGGCGACCAGGCGGTCGGCCACCACGGCACGCGCGCGCGGGTTGCAACGGGGGGGGGGGGCGGCGGTTTGAGCGGCGCGGCTCGGGCACGCGCGCTGGCTGCGGGGCCGAGCGGCTGCAGGCGCGGCAGGAGAGCGGGGCCGGGCGGCGCAGACGGCGCAGGCGCGACGCGGGCGACGACCACGCTGGCGCGCGCGCGCGGGTTGCAACCGGGGGGGGGGGGGGGCGGCGGTTTGAGCGGCGCGGCTCGGGCACGCGCGCTGGCTGCGGGGCCGAGCGGCTGCAGGCGCGGCAGGAGAGCGGGGCCGGGCGGCGCAGACGGCGCAGGCGCGACGCGGGCGACGACCACGCTGGCGCGCGCGCGCGAACGACGCGCGGGGAGTGGCAGCGAAGGAGCGGAGAGGAGGGCTCGGCTCGGCGCGGCTCACACGCTCGCGCGTGCGGCGCGCGGGCGGAGCGGAGGGGGGAGGGAGAGAGAGCGAGAAAGAGAGGGCGCCGGGGAGGGAGGGGGAGATGGGCCGAGAGAGATTCGGCCCATCGACCCCGGGGGAGGCAAAATAGACTTTTGCGGAGGGATTGGTTTGGGAAGGATTTGGATTCGGGATTGAACTCGACGATAGATCGGGGATTGAGATCTGAGATGGCACGGACACTAGACAACAAGCAAGGAAACAAATTTCGCAATTAGGGTTTTTAAGAGATAATTTTCCCGCTAGGCGCCACGACGGAACGGGCGCTACACATTCATTCCTACTCTTTTTAGGATGTCTGATGCATATTTTTCTTGTGTCAGAACTATTCCATCACATACCTTATTTACTTCAATACCAAGAAAGAAATGAAGTTCTCCCAGGTCCTTTAGAGCGAAGTCTTGACTTAGTCCTTTCAGGAGCACATATGTTGCTTCTGTTGAAGAGCTTGCCACAATAATATCATCAACATAAACAAGCATAAAAATAGTAATGTCTCCTTTGTTATAAAAGAACAAGGATGTGTCAGACTTTGAAGATATAAACCCAAGTTCATGTAGCTTTGTACTCAATCTTGCATACCATGACCTTGGAGCTTGTTTCAAGCCATATAGTGCCTTATTTAATTTGCACACATAATTTGGGTAGTTTGTCTATTCATATCCTGGGGGTTGCCTCATGTACACTTATTCTTCTAAAACACCATGTAAGAAGGCATTTTGAACATCTAACTGGCGAAGACTCCATCCTCTAGACACTGCTATAGAAAGAATAGTTCTAATAGTAGCTGCCTTTACTACTGGACGGAAGGTGTCTTCATAATCAATACCATACCTTTGTTTAAAACTCTTTGCTACAAGTCTAGCTTTGTATCTATCTAGACTCCCATCAGTTTTCCTCTTAATCTTATACACCCATTTACAATTTATTATATTAATCCCTTTCTTAGTAGGAACTAAATGCCAGGTTTTATTTTTCATAAGTGCCATATATTCTGCATCCATAGTCTCCTTCCAATTTTTATCTCCTAAAGCCTCATTCAAATTTTGGGGTTCACCAGATGATGTGAAGCAGCTATACTTAACTGTACCGTCAGTATAAATTTTCTCCTTTCTAATACCGCTCTGCAATCTGGTTTTAGGTCTGAGTGTTACCTCAGGTGGCGCTGTCGTGGCCACTGGTTCATCAGATGCAGACGATCCGGAGGCATCATGATGTGTGCCAGCTGACACGTCGACTGCTGGTTGGCGTGGAGGAGATGCATGCGCAGGAGATGCTGGATGATGAGACGACGTGGTGCCGTCCGGTTGCTGCTCCAGTGACTGCTGCGGCTGCAGAGGCAAGACGGCTGATGTCGACGGCTGATCTGAGGCAGTTTTTCCCGCCTGATCGTCATTTTCTGGGTGCAAGCCATCTGATGTACCTGGAATAATTCCTCCTGTGCCAATTTCTGTAAAAACAGGACTCAAATCTTGGGAGTTAGTGGAGACAGGCAGGATATATTCATGCATATGGTCAGTGCTATGTTTCTCTCCCCCTTGATCATAGGCATGAGAGAGGAGATGTTCTGGTAGGAGGGAAATTTCAGCGCGGAGACGTGCCCCTGCATTGGAGTGAAGGTGGGAAAAAGGAAACTCATGTTCATCAAAGGTAACATCTCGGGAAACATATACACGCCCTGTAGACACATCAAAGCATTTAAAGCCCTTATGCATGTTACTAAACCCAAGAAAGACACACCGTTTAGAACGGAATTGGAGTTTATGTGTATTATATGGTCTAAGGTTTGGCCAACAAGCGCATCCAAATGTGCGTAGAGAATTATAGTCCGGTTTTTGACCAAAAAGACGTTCAAGCGGTGTGTCAAAATTTATAACTTTGCTAGGAAGTCGATTAATAAGATATACAGCAGCTAGGAAGGCTTCATCCTAAAATTTCAAAGGCATAGAGGTATGGGCAAGCAACGATAAGCCAACTTCAACAATGTGACGGTGTTTGCGTTCGACGGCACCATTTTGTTGATGGGTGTGAGGACAAGACACTTGATGAGATATGCCAATCTTGTCAAAGAAAGAATGCAATTTTTGGTACTCACCTCCCCAATCAGTTTGCATGGTAACAATTTTACGATTGAACTGTCTTTCAACCATATTTTGGAACTCATGGAATTTTTCAAAAACTTCTGATTTAAACTTAAGGAAGTAAATCCAAACAAATTTACTATAATCATCAATGAAGCTAACATAATATCGTTTAGCTCCAACAGAATCGGAGGCCGGTCCCCATACATCGGAGTGAATAAGATCCAAAGGATTACTAGATACACTCGAGGATTTAGGAAAAGGAAACTGATGACACTTTGCTTGAAGACAAGCATCACACACAGACTCACTAGGAGACTACTGCATGGCAATTTATTTTGACTAATAATCTTAAGGACTATGGGCTTTGAAGCATGCCCAAGATGACCATGCCACCGCTCGAAGGATGGCGACACTGCAAAGACTTGTTTTATTGGTGCTCCGGTGGGTAGGGGATAGAGTCCTCGCTGGCATGGACCTTCAAGAATTATTCTCCTCATGGCCTTGTCCTTAATCAAAAATATTTGTGATGAATTTCTAGGAAGGCATAGTTATCAGCAACAAGTCTATGAACTGATACTAAATTTTTAGATGCTTGGGGCACATGAAGAATATTTTTAAGATGCAAGGGGCGACTAGGAGTAGAAACATAGGAATGACCAATATACGCTATATCCATACCTTCGCCACTCGCCGTGTGGATCTGATCGGTGCCTTGATATTTCTCCTTTGTTGTAAGCTTGTCAAGCTGGCTTGTGATGTGATCTGTTGCACCAGTATCTACATACCAGTTTGTGTCTATGCCATAGGCATGAGTTGCTGCACCTCCAATCTTTTCATCAGGGACATACGTTTCATCGAAACGATGCCAACAATCTGAAGCCACATGGCCTCTTTTGTTGCAGACTTGGCAGGTAGGGCGATTATCGCCTCGACCCCCGCCATTGTTGCCGCGTCCTCCGTTGCCGCCGCGGCCACCGCCGCCACGACCGCCGCGTCCGCGCGGCATGCCACCACGGCCACCACGGGTGACATTGTTGCGATTTGCAGCGTTGGTGGAGGCAGTCAGGAACGCTTGACGAAGACGGATCTTGTTCTCAAAGTTCAGCAGATGAGAATACATCTCTTGCACTGTGATGGGTTCAACCCTAGCGACGAGAGCCTCGACAACAGGATCAAAGTTTGCATCAAGACCGTTAATGATATAAGCAATAAGATCATCTTGATCAATTGGCTTGCCTGCTGCTGCAAGTTCATCTGCAATCGCCCTCATCTTGGCCACATATTCTGTGACTGACATGGTGCCCTTCTGTGTAGAGGTGAGTGCCAGCCGCATATTGATGAGGCCAGCTCGGGACTTCGACGCGAACATGTCGCTGATGGCCTGCCACGCCTGTGCCGCCGTTGTTGCACCGGCGACCTGGGACAGGATCTCACGTGACAGTGAGGAGAACAGGAAGCCAAGGACCTGTTGGTCCGTGGCAAACCATTCATCCACTGCCGGATTAGCAATCTTGATTGTCTTCTCTCCTTCTTTCTTGTCTCCTTCTTTCTTCTCTATCTCGGCAGGTGGTGGAGTAGTCTTGCCGGAGATGAATCCTTCCAGCCGCGCGCCCCTCAGGGCTGTGAGCACTTGCGCTGACCAGAGAGCATAATTTTGCTTGGTGAGTTTTTCAGAGACCTGGATGCCAACCAGAGGATTTGTGGCGGCTATGGAGGAGGAGGAACTCGCCATCTCAATCCAATCTAGGTTGAAGGCTCTGATACCATGTGAAGCGTGGAATGCCTTCGGTGAGGCGGATGCATGTTAATCTCTGTGACCAAACAGGCCGAACAAGTACATACATACATACATACATACATACATACATACATACATACATACATACATACATACATACATACATACATACATACATACATACATACATACATACATATATATATATATATATATATATATATATATATATATATATACATACATACATACATATATATATATACATACATACATACATACATACATATATATGTATGTATATATGATTACCAGGCTCTATTATGATTACCAGGCTCTGATACCACACTTATGCTTCAGACAAACCTATGCTTCAGACAATATACACTGTTCAAAACACTATTTATTCGGCTGAATACTATTCAGTTTACTGTTTATTCGGCTGATTACTATTCAAAAACACTATTCAGTTTACTGTTTAAATTACTGTTCAATACTGTTCACTTCGAGAGATATTTTAACTTTAGGATCTTTGCAGGGTGGCGAATCCTATTTAGACAGCCTCAGAAGCTTGCTTCGGATGATGTAAAGTCCTACTCGGTACTCACCGTATGCCTCACCTATCTATCTTTTTAGAAGCAACTTAACAAGATATTCCAAGTCACACTTGTTCTAGCTAAGAGTTTATCGTCTCCCCAGGCAGTTCCACCCGAAGGGAACACTTCTCTACGGATACCGATTCTCCAGACGCCTATGCAAGATGCAGGCTAAAAACGAGAACAAACCGAAGAGGTTTCTCCTATAGGGTCCTTAGCATAAACACTTGTCTAGAACAAACGTGCAGGAATACTTAAGGAAAATTACTTCATATTAAACAGATAAGCTTACATACGGTTTTCCCTTTCGGGAAACCCGAAGGTAGGTACAAGCAAGCTGTTCTTACCTTACACAGCGTTATTACACAACTCCTTGCTTCAATATACTATGCAAGGTAGGCTAAAGTCACTACTACTAAGAACGGTGGAATGGAGGGTGAGAGCGCGCTTGGAAGCTTTGCTCTGAATGGTGTATACGTGTGTGTCTATATATATATATGTATATATATATGTATATATATATATATATATATGTATGTATGTATATGTATGTTTGTATATATATGTATATATATATATATATATATATATATATGTATATATATATATATATATATATGTATATATGTATATATATATATGTATGTATATATGTATGTATACATATATATGTATACATATATGTATACATATATGTATGTATATATGTATGTATACATATATATGTATACATATATATATATATGTATATATATATATATATATATGTATATATGTATATATATATATGTATACAGGGATATGTATACATATCCCTGTGAAGATATACATATATATGATTACCAGGCTCTGATACCACACTTATGCTTCAGACAAACCTATGCTTCAGACAATATACACTGTTCAAAACACTATTTATATATATATAGTAAATAAGTGTTCCAAGCGCGCCTCACACTCCCCAAACTCGACAACTTAGAAGTACCCAATCTCGAGCCTGAAGAAAGAATTAATGAATATGAGCTTAGTGAGAATATAGACAACTATTCTTCCTCATCATATCTTCCAAAGTCTATAGAATTGCCAGGTAAGACATCATGGGAAGATAGATATTTATTAAAAGCTACTAAAGATTTTGAATATATATGCAGGGAAATGGCTTCACAGAAGTCTGAATGGCTCACAAATATGAGTTCATGGAGACTGCCCCAACTGCCCAGAGGCCATGGAGAACGATTTAATCACAATTTCAGAATAACAGAGCTACAACAAGGGTTATTAAACCTCTTGTGGCAAACAAAAAACAAAAAAGAAAAAGCTCATGCCTTAAATGGCCTGGCATATTATTTCAAAAATTTCGTGCCCTCAGATCAAAAGATAACAGAAAAAAGGGCTAAAATGCAAGATATCCCTCATCATGAAGAAAGGTTATTAGATTATCGCGAGGAGAAATCCCGTGATGGCCAAGATAAACTTCCCATGGGAGTCGAACAATCTATGGCAACAGATAAGAATACCAAGGTATTCTCAGATAAGATTTTGATCTCAACAGATCCTGTTTCGAGCATGGTTGCTTTCCACATAAATATCAATAACCTATTGCAATCTTTCCCACATAATAAACCATCATCATCCACAAAAAGGCATGATACCATTCCCCAAACACCATACATACGGCATAATCATCCTAATTTATTCCTTCCACAATATATACTCCGGACTCTGCATTCACTGTTCAAAACACAACAACAACGAAGACACCATTCAGAGCAAAGCTTCCAAGCGCGCTCTCACCCTCCATTCCACCGTTCTTAGTAGTAGTGACTTTAGCCTACCTTGCATAGTATATTGAAGCAAGGAGTTGTGTAATAACGCTGTGTAAGGTAAGAACAGCTTGCTTGTACCTACCTTCGGGTTTCCCGAAAGGGAAAACCGTATGTAAGCTTATCTGTTTAATATGAAGTAATTTTCCTTAAGTATTCCTGCACGTTTGTTCTAGACAAGTGTTTATGCTAAGGACCCTATAGGAGAAACCTCTTCGGTTTGTTCTCGTTTTTAGCCTGCATCTTGCATAGGCGTCTGGAGAATCGGTATCCGTAGAGAAGTGTTCCCTTCGGGTGGAACTGCCTGGGGAGACGATAAACTCTTAGCTAGAACAAGTGTGACTTGGAATATCTTGTTAAGTTGCTTCTAAAAAGATAGATAGGTGAGGCATACGGTGAGTACCGAGTAGGACTTTACATCATCCGAAGCAAGCTTCTGAGGCTGTCTAAATAGGATTCGCCACCCTGCAAAGATCCTAAAGTTAAAATATCTCTCGAAGTGAACAGTATTGAACAGTAATTTAAACAGTAAACTGAATAGTGTTTTTGAATAGTAATCAGCCGAATAAACAGTAAACTGAATAGTATTCAGCCGAATAAATAGTGTTTTGAACAGTGTATATTGTCTGAAGCATAGGTTTGTCTGAAGCATAAGTGTGACAACAACTATGCTTACTTTATAGGGACTAATATCTTTAGTAGCGGCCATAGCACTTGCATATATGTTTGGGGAGTTTAAAGATAGGCTAAATTTTTAGTTAAGCTACTCTCTCCATCAGAGAGTAGACCAATTTGTCATCATCTGGTTTCATATTTAAAAATTGTTTTAATTTTTTTTAATGATTACTTAAAGTATAAGGGGACAATATAGGGTGCGGTGAATGACATATCCCTGTGAAGAATAAAACTTTCGGTGGAAAGGCCTCGGCTTTAGCTAGCTCTCGTGAATCCACAGTAGCGAAGAGATAAGCAGGAGACACAGGCGACGCCATCCCTGGCCTCTATAAAAGGAGACGTTGGCCTTCACTCCGAGGACATAACAACAACAACGAAAAAACATAACAACAACAACGAAGAGTATATAGACATCTATTATATATCAGTATGACATCTATTAGATATATATATATATATATATATGGCTGATTACGGTGTAGTTAGGCTGATCCTAATACAAAGGAGAAACAGATTCTATATATCTACAGCCCAACAACCTTATCTCAACCATATATGTTACATTATATCACGTGCTGCGGGAGGAGGACTCGCGCGTGTTCCTGCTGCTCAACGGCGGCGACGTCCCCAAGGGGAGGTCGCTGTCGGTGGTGTGCGTCGCCGCGGCGGGGGAGGCCGAGCTTTACACCATGGCGGTGAGCGGCGGCGCGCCGGGCGCGCTCTCGCTGTCGGCGTCCGGGAGCGTGCCGCGCGTCCGGCGGTGGGTGAGGTACCCGACGGGGGGTTTCCTGTTCGTGCCGGACGCCTACTGGCGCGCCTCCGGCGGCAGCGTCTCCGTCACCGTCCACGTCAAGAAGCTGCCGCCGCCCGAGCTCGAGGAGGACACCACCGCGGCATAAACCCTAATAACATGACGACATGGCAGTGATCAACTCTTAATTATAATTAGTAGTGCACGAGTGGATGTATGGTAGCACTAAGTTAGTAAGTTCTGGTAGATTAGTGGCGCGAGATCGAGTTCCGTTCACCCATGGTCCGACTCGATGAAGCATGTATTGTGACCGGCGAAATGCCCAAATTGACTTGCCGTGTGTCGAGGTGGTTCTCTGTTCAACACAAGGAATACTACTCATGGTATCTTTGCTACCCTGCAGAAGGGAACCAGATCCTCTGACGTAGCGAGGGACGTCCAACGGCTCTCGTCCGTCCATTCGGCATCGGACGGAGTCGAGCGAGCATAGCGATTAGACAAAGCCCATATGTTGCAGAAAAATCGGCCCACGCGACCTACAGCCAATCAGCCATCGACGCCGCCTCCGAGCCACAGCCGCCGGCGCCGCGAGGAAGCAAGTCGTCGCCGTCGGCGTCACCGCCACAGCCTGCGCCTCCCCAGCGAGGTCCCCAGCTCGGGAGGTGCAGGCTGCGGTGGTGGCGGCGACGGCGCAGAGGCCTCCCCTCCCCCATTTGCTTCCTAGCGGAGCCGGCTGCTGTGGCTCAGAGGTGGCGTCGATACCGCGTGGGCTGTTTTTTCTGCCATATGGGCCGAGCCTATCCGCTGTGCTCGCTCGACTCCGTCCGATGCCGAATGGACGGAGCAGAGCCGTTGGACGTCCCTCTGACGTCAGAGGATCTGGTTCCCTGCAGAAGTATTTTATCTTCTCTTTTACGAATCTTTCAGTTACTGGTCCTAAAATACAAGGGATTTTGGAGACGGAGAGAGTACCATACTACACAAAAATGCTTGATGCATAGTATCTACTCATGGCATGATACTTAATGTATAGTACTACCTCCGTTTCAGGTTATAAAACGTTTTAACTTTGGTAAAGTCAAACTGTTTTAAATTTGACAGTTTGTAGAAAAAAATAATAACACTTTCAACCCAAGACAAATTTATTATGAAAATATATTCAGTTATTAATTTAATAAAACTAATTTGGTATTATAAATATTACTATATTTGTCTATAAAATTAGTTAAACTAAAAACTTAAAGTAGTTTGACTCTAACCAAAGTCAAAACATCGAGTACTATACTACTCCCTCCGTCCCAAAAAAACCCAACCTAGGAGAGAATGTGACCATTTCTAGGAGAATGAATCTGGACTAAAGGGGTCACATCCCCTCCTTGGTTGGGTTTTCTTGACGGAGGGAGTACTCCAGAGTGACACGAGAGCAGTGTCAGTGTAGACACTAGACACCACTTATATTCAGATTCAAGATTAAAAGTTTGCTTTTTTTTTAATAAAGGGAGTACACCGTAGTATATAGTATTATGGAGTATGTATTTCCTCTTTTGATTTATCCTCAAAATTATTTTTTTGGAAGAGATAATACAAGTAGTACTCCCTCCGTATTTTAATGTATGACGTCGTTGACTTTTTAAGCAACGTTTGACCATTCGTTTTATTCAATTTTTTTTGAAAATATGAACATTCGTTTTATTCAAATGTTTATGTCATGCTTAAAGAACATTTGATGATAAATCAAGTCACAAAAAAATAAATGATAATTACAAAAAAAAATTTGAATAAGACGAACGGTTAAACGTTGGACAAAAAATCAACGGCGTCATACATTAAAATATGACGGTAGTACTTTTTAGTAGTACTTTTTGGAAGGGGTATATGTTACTCTCTCCTTCTTAAAATATAACAATTTCTAGCCTTTAAAATTTATTTCAAAATATAGCAATTTTTACCCCAACATTCTCTTATCAACCAATCAAAAACATATTTAACCGTTCGTCTTATTCAAAAACTTTTGTGAAATGTGTAAAACTATATGTATATATAAAAGTATATTTAACAATAAATCAAATGATAGGAAAAGAATTAATAATTACTTAAATTTTTTTGAATAAGATGAACGGTTAAACATTTTTAAAAAAGTCAACGGCGTCAAACATTTTGGGATTGAGGGAGTATATAAGTTCCATAAATCTAAAAGTTTCCATTAAATAATAAAGAACCCACACACATGACTCCTCCATCCGCTTACGCTTGCCCTTGGCGCTTGCTCCTACCAGCTTGCCTGCTGCTCATCCGCTTACGCAGGAACCTTGCCTGCTGCTTCAGCATTCTGCCAAAATAAAATAAAGATGACTGTCAATTAAACATTATGATTTAAATCTGACCCTAGTTTTATACGAAGAGGGGTAGTGTGCAGTCAGCAGTACTTCAAGGCATGTTGCTAATTAATGAGGTTAGTAGCCATGGCATCAATATACGTGGTTATAGGTAAATCTACAAAGGTTGTTACTATTGCCAGCAGCAGTTAAGACCACTGTTGGTTTTCACCTTGCACTTCAGAATGCTGCATCTTTTAGAATCTACTTAGGCTTGTACCAATAGTGAATTCAGTAATTGATTTCAAAACCTCTATATTCATTAATTAGGCAATTCACTCAGGGAGACTCTGAAAATAATACTCAAACTGAGAGACTCTGAAAATAATTCTTAATTTCAAAATTACAACTATCAAAGTTCAACATGAGCCAGGTACTTTTCATTGGTTAAGACAAGAGAAGGAAGCTTGTATTGGATAAGTGAAACCACTATGAAATAATTCTACACCAAAGGAAACATAACACCAACAGTGTATACATTTGAAAATTGATTTTGAAACCTCTACATTCATTAACTAATTAGACAATCATCGAATGAACTTAGGCTTATACCAATTCTTAATTTAAAAAATTATTACTAGCAAAGTTTAACATGAGCCTTGTAATGCTCGTTGGTTCATGAAGGGAAAGCTGGTGCACATATGACACACTAAGCAGTGTTCAATACTTGAATGTAAATTAATGGTTGGCCAAATTAAGATGTCAATATTTTTTAGTACTAGTTAGTTGTACAAGTGAAACTAACTTGATGTGACAAATATAAGCGTCAATTGAGTCTGAAACAAAGTAAAGCAGTAAAACAAACGATTGGGATGATCAGCTAGAGAAGTAAAGTGGGTGGCGATGAGTGTAGCAGTAGTTAGTAAATTAAGTACCTGGCGATCTTGTAGGTATGCACTGAAGTCAGAAGCAAGGAAGGTCATTGTAAACCACCGAAAGGTGGGCTTTTTAGAAATCTTGGTGGAGGACAGGACCTTGTTCTGCAGCATGTCGAAGCGGATCATATAATTTGCTTTGGGAACCAGCTGAATCCCAAGACTATCCCCGAACTCATTGAGTCGCGGTATTGGTTCCTCCTTGACATGATTTAGGACGGCATACATGATGCCATCTTCGTTGACGCCGAGGAGAGGGGAGAAGGGCAGAACATGTGGCAACCCCATCTGGTTGAAGCTCTCGCTCGCCCAGATGTCTCCGACAGTCAATGTCGTTTCCTCCTTCCAGTGCTTGAAATCTGGGGACAGTGACCATGTCTTGAGCTTCACCTCGTTGGCGGGACAAGAAGCTTCTTCGCAGTAGCCGATCAAGGCGAGGAACTTGATGGCACCAGAGACGCGGCCGATGGAACGGTGTCCATCTGGGCTGAAGCAATGGCGGGGCTTGTCGTGGGCGTCGATGCAGTGTCGCAACGGGACGAACACTAGCCTGGGGCCTTGCGGTGATGACAAGATTTCGTCGCAAATCAAGATGCCCTTGAGGAGATCAACCCAGAAGATGGTGCCGGCGAAGGAGAAGGCCGTGTCGATGTGGAAGAAGTAGGTCGGGCCACAGAGATGTGGAGGGAGAGGGAGGTGAGGAATCGACGACTGGATCCACTCGCCGCCGTTCTTGACCCGCGCGAAGATGGTGGCCTTGGGGAGCGCGGGGTTGATCCCTCTACGGGAGCAGGAGGTGACGATGTCGGCGAGGATGTAATCATCATCATCGGCGCCGGCGGCGGAGACGAGGACAGCGCTGCGACCGAGGGGAACGAAGACCGAATCCGGAACTGGGGGGATAGCGGTGAGGTGGTTGTTGGAGGCGTCGTAGAGGAGGTAGCATCGATGGGCGTAGATGACGACGATGCCCTTGTGGGTGCCGGAGATCTCGCCGATCCCAAGCAGAGTCGTTCTAGCCGGCGGCGGCAGCAGCATGTGCAGGCTGCTTGCTTGAGGTGGGTCGGCGAGGAAGGCGACGGGTTTCACGGACGGCGCCATGCGCCGCTCCATCTCCTCCGCGGAACCCATCATCTGCACTCTACTCCAGCTCCATCCGCCGGCCTCGATTGTGGCCGCAACATCTGCGTCTCTGCTCGCGCCACCGCTGGTTAACCCTGCTGCTTCCACGAAACGCACCACGCGTTCCAGCAACACACAGGGAGGAGGCCTGGGGTCTGCCATGGTTGCTGTTAGGAGGCTAGGGTTTGCTTCGTCGGCTCCAACAGCAAGATTAGAAGAAGAAGAAGAAGAGGCGATAAGGGTTTGGGGAAGAGAGAATCCCTTATATGCCACTAGAATTTGGCCAGTTTCCTTATATGCCACTCAAAATTGGCTTCTCCCTTATATGCCACTAGTTCAAGTTTTTCCACCATTTTACGCCACTCCCACCACTATAGTGTTAGTTGACTGTTAGTCAAAGGTTAGTTTTTTCGTAAATGACCAATATGCCCTCTCAACTAAAAAATGTGTAAACTTCAAAAAATCATAACTAATTTATTTTAAATCCTTTTTGAGTGAACAAAATTTTGTCAGAACCAGTGAAAAATGCTCTTTATATTAAAAATATTGTTGGAAAACTGCATGTTTTATGCTTACATTGAAAATTTATTTGTGATGGTAATGGCTAAAATTGCATGTGATGCAGAAAAAATCAATTTTCATATGTTGTATCCTAGCTATATTAGTACTAAAATATCTATTATTGGTTGTATACTAATTCTAAAGGGCAAATGCGTCTTTTTACAATGAAGTTAACGGTCAACTGACGGTGGACTGATGGCAATGGCATAAAAGGGAGGAAAAACTTGAACCGGTGGTATAAAAGGGAGAAGCCAATTTGAAGTGGCATATAAGGGAGCCCGTTAATTTAGAGTGGCATATAAGGGATTCTATCTTTGGGGAATTCATTCCTTCCTTCCTTCTTGTCGTCTGTAGATCTGGACACGGACGCCAATCCTCGGCCCACGGGCCCAGGGACACGGACGGACGGATGGAGATCTGAGTCGGCGTCGCTGGACGGTGGATGTGCTACCTTGGCTCCTCAAATCTGTAGACATATACAAGATCAATCATGTAAAATTGATCATGCAAAAATATAAAAAAGATCAAATCATATGTAAAATTGATGTTACACAATATGTAACTAACTTATTTAAAACATTTTATATTTATAGATATCATTAGTCAAAGTAGCATCTTGAAGACTGTGTCGAAGTCTAAAAGTGCTTATATTTTGAGACAAAGAGAGTCCAAACACCCCGTGCGACACTGGATGTGACATTACAAAATTTTACACTAGGGTCCTGTTTAAATTTTTCTCTAAAATTTTTCACCATGTCACATCGAACGTTTAAAACCTGCATCCATATCTCTATCTTTATCTCTACTTTACTTAAAAATTTTGAAAAATTTCCGTCGTCCGTGCAAAAAGTGCGAAAACATTTTTCTGCCCGATTAAAAAAAAGTGTGAAAAAGGATTTCCTTCTTCCGTAAAAGAAGGAAAGAAAGATTTCTGTACGGCAAAAAAAAAACGCGAAAAAAAGTGCGAAATTTTTTTCTGATAAAAAAAAGTGGGAAAAAAGGGCTAAACAAAGGAAAAAAATAGTGCGAAAAAAAGATTTATGTCCGATTTAAAAAGAAAATCCCGTCTTCAGTGCCAAAAAAAACGAGCGCAAACATTTTATTCTGTCCGATTAAAAAAAGTGTGAAAAAAGGTTTCCGTTTTCCGTAAAAAAAAGGGAAAAAATAGTGCGAAAGAAAGATTTCTGTTGGATTTTAACAAAAATAGTACGTATAAACCGGTCCTCCTAAAAAAAGGTTATTGGAAAAAAATTCCCGTGCAACGTTAAAAAAAATGTCCGACCTCATAAGAACCGATTGATTTTCCAAAAATTCATAAAAAGAAGAGGTTGGTGGGAAAAAACCAGTTAAAGAAACCGGTTCGGCATTTTTAGCTTTTCCAAATATTCTTCAAAGTAGATTTGGAAACTTAAAAGCGAATTCAATTTTCCCCAATCGAATTACTTTTTTTATTCATAGAAATTATCATATATCAAAATCCACCTAAAGAGATCAAAGTTTATATAAACCGCGCGAGAAAAAAAAACCCTTATAAAAAACGCTCCGAAGAAATTGTTAGAGTAAAAACTTTATAAGAAAAAGATAAAAAAGGCGTGTTCGTCCTGCTCAACGGGCGGCGACGTCCCCATGGGACGCTCGCTGTCGCTGGTCACCGTCGGCCCTCCGCCGCCGCCGCAACGCGGGACATCCTACGGACCTCGTGTGTTTGGTTGGTGGGATATACCCGGATAGGACATGGCCGCCGCTTTTTGGAGAGTGTTTGGTTGCTGGGCGAAAGTGGGATAGGGCGGCCCGGAGGGGAATATTCCCCTCAGATGCTGGATAGAGGGATCCAGCCGATTTGGCCGGATGTAGCCGCCCGAGGCTCGGGCGAGCCGGGCAAGCGAGTCGTGTGACTCGCGTCACCCCTCACCACGACGACGCGAGCGAGGCGGCGGATAGGACGGCCGGCGCGGGCGACGAGCGAGGCGGCGGATAGGACGGTCGGCGCGGGCGACGAGCGCGGTGGCCGGCGAGAGAGAAGGAGAGCTCGGCAGCCGGCGCGGGCGACGAGAGAGGAGGTGAGCTCGAGGGCCGGCGCGGGCGACGAGAGAGGAGGCGAGCTCGGCGGCCGGCGAGAGAGAAGGCGAGCTCGGCAGCCGGCGTGGGCGACGAGAGAGGAGACGAGCTCGGCAGCCGCCGCGATGACGATGAGAATGCGGCGACGACGACAACGATGCGGGCGGCGAGCGCCGCGTCGGCGGGAGGAGGTGGCGGCGGCGGCGGCCGACGGGAGGAAGCGGCCGGTGGGAGGAGGCGAGCAGCAACCGGCAGGAGGAGGCGGCTAGCGGGAAGAGGCGGCGGCGACGAGCCCCAGATCCGGCCGTGTTTTTTTTCTTTTTTTTCTTTTTTTCTTTTTTCTATGTGTATTTATAATGGAAATAGTGGTGTAAAATTGTATTATGTATTAATTTGATGGGGGTATATTCACCATCTCAAGTGGAGAGGTGACCACACCTACAAATCCATCATACTCCCTCCAACCAAACAAAAAATTGGATCACCAAATCCACCTTCGTCCCTACAACCAAATAAAAAACTGGATCGCCATATTCACACAACCAAACAAAAAAACTGGACTGCCATATCCAACAGAATATGAACCGCCATATCCCATCCAACCTTGAGCAATAACCAAACACACCCAAGGTGGGCGCCGTGGACGGGCTCGATCATCTGTCGATATCGGGCACCATTCCGCGCGTCCGATGCGTGCAGAGGGGTTCGAGGCCAAATCGTTTCTGTTCGTGCCGGATGCTTACTTGGGGCTCGTCCGGCACCATCGACGTCACGGTGACCATCGGATGATGCTTCGGTTGGATCTTGCTTTTGGGCCACACTCGAGTCTCTATCTATGAAGTGTTAGTGTTAGCTTTCAGGTTTAGTAGTTCTTGTGTACTAGATGGTAATCCTTTTCCACGACTAATTTTGCTTTGCCTCTTGCACGACGTGGTTTATGTGATGCAACGAAGAATAGAGGCTTGCATGAATGCATGTAAGTAGTACCCAGCTTGTATGCAATGCTCTACTACTATATATCTTGTGCTACTACTTGTTGGAATGTAGCCTTTGCTAGCTAATTGAATTGCAGCTACTGGAGGAAAATCGCAATTTTTCTAACCTTGTGATGTTCTAGTCTTAAGTAGTACCACTACGCCAGATCGGCCCATCTGTGACGGCCTATTAGTGATGGACCAAAGTGCCTCGTCAGAGATAACCTCATCTGTGACAGGTTGCAATAAATCACGTCATAGATAGGGCTCAAAAAAAATAACCTGTCACTGGTAACTACTCGCCTGTGACGGCTCTACATAAAGACCCGACACACAGCATCTTTAACGTGTCCATATATAGACTCGTCAATGATGACCTCTTACCTGTGACGGGTTTTAAGTTTGTAATCCGTCACAGGTGATATACCTCATCTCAAACGCATTCGATTTTTATACCCGTCACTGGTGACTTAAAAAAAAATAAAACCCCCACCCCCACCCCCACCCAGGGGGCCCACCACCCACCCACCAGTCTCTTCTCTTCTCTTCTCTCTTCCTCCTCTCGATCTTCTCGCTTCCTCCTCTCTTCTCTCTTCTCTCGATCTGCCGACCACCGGCGGTCGCCCCGTCCACCCTCCCCCCTCCCCCCACAACCACCGTCGCCTCATCCACCCTCTCCCCTCCCCCCACGACCACCGGCTGCCGCGGCCTCCTGCCTCCCTCCACCTCGCTCGTCGCCGGCCTCCAGGAGCCGCCTCCTCCCCCCGTCTCCTGACAACCGGTCGCCGGATCCGGTCTCGACGAGTTTGGGGGACGCGGATCCAGCGACCGCCGCCTCCTGACCGCCGACGTCTGCGGCCACCTCCCCCACCTCCTGACCGCTGCGTTCTCTCCGCCGACCGCCAGCCGCCGCCGCCTCCCTCACCTCCCGACGGTAGCCGACGGATCCGGATCCGGCGATAGCCGCCTCCCCCGCCTACCGACCACCGACCGCCGGATCTGGCGGGCCCATGGGATCCGGCGGGTAGCCAGATCTACTGGCTGCCTTCTCCTCTACCACCGGACCACCAGCCACCGGATCTGGTGGACGTCTGTAGCCTCCCCCCTGACGTCCTCCGCCACGCAGATACGGAGGCCGCCGCCTCCATCCCCAACCGTTGGTGTCTGCGTCCTCCACGTCTCCTTCACCCACAAGCGCCGCCACCATTTCCAACTCGGTTGGCTACATTCATTGCTAATTTTCATTGCCAAATTTCAGATTGGGCTATATCTTGATTGCTTGTGTGGATTCTTAGTTTGTTAAGATGGAGATCATTACTGTATGATGTATATTGTTACTTAAGTTGTGTGATCTGTGATATATATTACTTGTGTGGATGTGCTTCACATGTTGTTGTTCTCTGATGTTAACAGATCTAAGAATAAAATGCAAAGTTTCTACAAATAAAATGTACAAATAAAATGCAAAGTTATTGTGTCTTGTTCTCTAAATTGTTCTCTTGCATATCGAGATATTGCTGTGGGCTGAGGGCGTTTGAATTTTTTTTTGGGTGATTTTTCCTACCTGTGACGGGTGGTAAATTAAACCTGTCAGTGGTGAT